TTTCTGGCGGCCCATACCAAGACAACCAGACACAGACCGGTAAATAATCCAGCCATGATAGCATGTTATCCGCATAATTGTTATGCATCTTTAAAACGGTATCTTCAGGAGTGTTTTGGGATTATGTTTGTGTCTGATCTCTCTGTATCTCTAATTGTCCCTGATTGCAAAGGCTGGAACTGGATCGTTTCTAGACCCTAATTTCTGTTTTTAAAGGCCAGGAAATAGGCTGTCCAAATCCTACACAAGTCAAAGACGTTCAAAATAACTTGGAATGCTTCTTGTCTGAGAAACCCCTGTCTCCATGGCAACAGCCTCCCGATAACACAAACAGACCTCTATTCCTTGGCCGGGCAAATAAAAGGCGGGAGCGGAGAAAATGTTTTCCCAAGTGATGGGCTCTGGAGAGTCCCTGTGGTGGGCTCCCATTATGTGGGAACACTTTGTGACCACAGAAGTAGTCTGTGTAATAATATCAGAGCAACAGCTGGGGTCTTTGCGGACTATATGTGCAGAACAGATCTTGCCAGTGCCATGTTTTCCCCCTTTTTGCTCTGGTTTTTGTTTCATCTACTGTAAGGCAGACGTGAACTTAGGCTGGAATGGAGTGAAGAACCCTTAACTAAAACCAAACAAACAGATAACAGACATGTAAACATAGAGCTTCAAGAGGACTTAGAGAGTCTCTCTACCTGTCATCTCATTCACTGACATTCCAGTCATCTCTTCTCCTCCTCTGCTAGCAGCTACAAATTACTGACTGTATTTTAGTGCAGCGCCCCTCCTCGCTTATTTTCCATCCCGGCCTGGCAGCTGCACACTGGCTCCATTGTACACACAAAAGCCTTGCCTTTTGCCGGATATGCAACAATGATAGAAGCTGCCGTGACGTCAGGGGGGCGCGCCTTGAATGCAGACCAACACCCACAATGCGGTACATGCACTCTACTGTATTTATCTGGGAAGTGTGAGTTTAAAAAGAGATCTCACTGAATGCTTCTTTCTGATGTAAGAGTGTTCATACGTACAGTGTTTCGTGTCTCAGCTGAGGTCATTGTTATTGTGTCTGCACACACCTGTTAGGTGGAGTTTGCGATGACAACTCCACACACATTTCAGGAAGTGCCAGGAAGGGCCTTGTTTCTCTCGTACTGGGAAAACTATGATACTAAACTTTCTTAAAGAAAATTGTTGAGACAGTTTTTCGTTTTACAAGAAAATTAGAAGTAGAAGAAACGTTTCTGTGGAATAGACAAATACATGTGAAAGAAGAATGTAAAAAAAATAAAAAGTTAAACTTAAGTTGCAATGCAACTGTTGACTAAACATCACCTATTTTTTGGTGAATTGTGGAACTGGAGGCTCTGGTATTGAACATGTTTTTGGTTAAAAGACTTGAGATGAACAATATTTAAAAAATTGAATTGTTTTGCTCAAAATAAAACTCCTGTGGATCATGCTGCACTGCATACTGAATTTAGAAATTGAAAAAAAACTCTGGAAACCTGCAATGAAAAGCAGAAAAACAGGAAAAGGTGACAAAAGAGGGAAAAGACTTGGCCGTGAGTGGACAACTGCTCCATGTGATTGGTTTAACAGCAGCTTCCTGTCTGTCTGAAGGGTGTGGCTCAACATAATGTAACTGCTTTTACATCAATGAGCTCCTGAAGGCACAGAGACACATTTTCACTGGGCTTCTCTTTGCTTTACAATAAGATCTCATGAAGGGTCCGACATGAAAGTTCATCCAGAGTTTCGGTGCCATCCACTCAGCATCAGCACAAACTCTTTGTTTGTAATCCTCTCCTTACTCCATGCTCTTTTTCTTGAGCTGGTCCACTTAGACAGATCAGAATAAAGGAACATGAAGCTTTTGCGGCTCGTGGATTTGCATCCAAGCCTTTTCTTCTAGTCTGTGTTGTGTTTTAGCACATAAAAAAGGGCCACGCTTATACAGAGTTTTTCCCTCTTTGCCACTCGACACCAATTACCCTGGTCATGTACATGCGAGATAACCTGAAACCTGATTTTCATTGGGTCACAGACAGCAGTGAAAAGTAGAGCTCCGTTTAGTGAAAGCATGATTAAAATCTCTTCATTGTGGGTGGGGTGGGCCCTGAGGGACTTGTGGAAGGGAGGGATACAGAGGTTTCAGAGACGAGACGTAGGGAGGGAAGGTCTGGGCCTCAGGCCCTGACAGAGGCAGCTTGCCATGGTTTCATGTATCTCTGCTGTTGTTCTCATCTATCCGAAACAGCAGACAGACCTATGTCTGGCGATTGTTTTTTGGGGGGCAGTATTTGACTCACTTCATGTTGGGCTACTGGGGTAGCAAGGACATTCTGGGGTTCACTTTATCTGCTTTTCTCTTTTTCTAACGCTGCAAATTATTCCGGGCTATGCTGATGTTTTGACAGGTCTAATCTTTAGGAGAAAGGGTTTACAGTAACATCTCGAAACAGATTTCTCAAAACAGGGGCCAGCTAATGGTTGTTACAGCTAGGCTACATTAGTAGTGTTTAGGAAACCGTCGGGATGTGGATAGAGCCCAGTGCTTATAAAGCCTCTGATGCCTTCTTTCGATAAACAGGATCTGATGTAACTGAAGTGCAAATCCATACCGAGCCCTTAAGGGCGCCACAGGCTCATGACGACAGTTATGTGACTTCTGGATGTTCAGGTCCTGTCACATGTTTTACGTAATGGAATTTTTTTTATTTCTTAAATGAAAAAAAACAAAATTGCAAAACAAATTAGGATTTCAGCTGGTTCCTATAATCCCATCAGATACTGAAGCAGTTTGCTGAGTAAAATTCCAAATGACCACAAGGCAAACCACAGTCCCCATGCGTGACTTGGGCATCATTATTCTGGTGACGTTGTCACTGACACAGTGCTATGTGTTAGAAATAAATGTTTCATGCCTTAGCGTATAGCAGCAACTGTTTTATACATTTAGAGGCTCTCAATGTGTCTATATTTCTTTTCTATAAAGAAAACTTTCGCAGCAGCTACTTCTGGTCATGGGAAGTGGCCTCTCAACGTCTGAAAGACTGGCCTGCCAGAGAAAGTGACGAAGAGATCCCTGGAGATTTGTCCCACTTCCATTAAAATGACCTCTACCCCTCTCCACTGTGGCTGCTTTTGGTTACTTTTCTAAAGATTTCAGACATCTGGTGGAGATGTTGAGTCTATGGAACTATGCAGGACATTTAGGGAATAGGATGGCAGCAATGTTATTTTATGATGTGAGAGCAAGTCCAGCTCCCCCAAATAAGAACAAGAAGAATAGGGAAAAGAAAAAGACATGGAAGGAACTAAGTCTTTGTCTTTCACACACATGAACAACAACAGAATTATGAGGGCTCATTCTGATTAGCTGGGACTATATATCATCTAGGGCGGGGGGATGCACTGATGGGGTTAGGAATCTCACAGAAGATCTTCATATCAACTAGATAGGGGAAGATGACCCCAAAATACTTATCACTATCAGGTATTCCAGTAGAATGGACAGAAGAGAGTTCATCTTTGGCTTTTCGTACTAAATTGTATTTAAATGTACTTGTTTTAAGTATCAAGTCTTTTTTTTATGAACATTTAGAACCCTTTGTCTAATTGTGATTCTGCAAGCTGTTAACAAGTATTTTTGTCTTGGTTTGTGAACTGTATCCAAAAAGATCTTATTAAGTGATGGAATCCAGTTATCATAGTATCAAACTATTCACAATTTGCACACTCTCAAAATCCAGAACTGAAAAGGGTCCAGTGTTCGACTCTCGTTCAATGGGCTGATACATCCCACAGGTGTTGACAACTCAATTGTCTTTTAGTCCTGTGTGTCTAATTTTGTCTGCAACAGCTGGCTTTATTTGGCAGTAACTGCCTCAAGGCCACAGTCATCCCGAGGTGCATGCAAGTCTGATGTGAAATTAAAAGCTGACTGTTATCTGTTTTGTATCATGGCAACCAGTCTGTATAGTGTTCAAGGTGCGGTCCAACATAACAGCACAAAGATTTTTTTCAATGTGAAATTGGAAGTGGACATAAATGTGAGCTCACAGTATGATTTTAATGACTCAAATCGCAGCACAGGCCGTAACCGTGTAGCAACAACTCTGCTGCCACACCTGTATCACACAGAATCTTTTGAGGGATGATGCAAGACTGAAACCAGAGAACAGGATTCCTGTGACTGTCATGCTCTGTGTTTCGATATGAGATGACAATGCGGTACAACATCATTTCATCTTGTTGTTGTAAGGAGCTGTGACGAATAACAGGAAATGTAAAGAACGGTTGCACAGCCTCAGATCCATGGGTCAGGGTCAGCCTTTTGAGCGCAGTATGATAAGGAGGTCACAATCTTTTTCTGTAAAGCTTCTCCTGCTTTTGCATGAGCAGTGAAAACAGAAACTTCATCGCCTGTACGGTTCCGTTTCTGCTTCTCATGGGAACAAATCACACCAAGTCTCACTACAGGTAGTGTCCATTTATTTCAGTTCATAAACAGAAAAAAGAGTTGACAATCTGTCAAACAGCTATTATAACACAGAAAAAAAACTTGTGAAAGATCTACTGAAAAAGACAATCAAAAATACAAATTCAGTCGAGCTGGAGTGCAGAAGTTTAACACAACAATAAGCCCTGCAGTCTTTAAGCCCAAAACAGATAACAGTAATACACTAATACAGTAACACTAAAATGCACATTCTTACAGAATGACTTGTCTTTAGTTCTACGAGCTAAACTAATGTATTAGTTAATGGCAAAAAAATATAATACTTCAAATAGTACATCATCTCTTGGAAAATAACAGCAGGGTTACTTATTTGAAAATAATAAAATCTCTTAAAGAGATTTATACAGCTGACACTGCCCTGTTTAACCAACATAATCTGCCATATAAAGGCTAGTAGTACAACAGCTGAAGAAACTTAAAGGTCTTGAGTTAAAGCAATAAATACACATTTGCCGACAGCCCAACCTTCCCAAAAACTACACTCATATTCTGCCTTTTAGAAAGAGCTGAAAAAATTATATGTAACACATGGGAGAGGAGGTTTTCCATTCATTAGCACTTTGCATCTTTTTATTCTTTTTCTCCTCGTCATCTAGATTCTCATATAAATTTGATTAAAGTGTTCTCAATAGCACAATTAAACGACTATCTCATGATGACGTGTTGACAGTCATGTAAGAGTGACCCCAGCCATGTCTTAAGCATATTCTTTTTTCTTTTTTTTTTCTCCAATGTTTGGACTCTTTTTCTCAATTGTGTGAGAAATGTTTTCAGGCTGTTAGACTACAAATATGGCAATAGTAGCATACTGATTTATTGGCAATGTGCTGTTGAGCACCACCTGTGCCTGCAGCAGCCTGCTCAGGCTGTCGTCACCTCGCAGTGAACAAACGGCACCTCTTCGCCCAAAGTGGGCCTTTCCACACCTGAAAATCATCTGTCTTCGACCTCACCAAAAAAAACCTACAAGCATGTGTGAGCACATTCTCGTGGGTGAAAGATTTGAAATTTAAGACCTTTGTACTGTTTTTTTTTAAGTGTTTGTGAACATTTACTGTGTAAACATGTCAAAAATGTAGCTGGGGTGCAATAAGAAATAACACTAATGTGGGGACCGTGGATGCATTTGCACTCCTCTAGCAAATGTATAAAACACATGCCTAGCCGGCATTTGTAATCACAAATTCATTCCTCGTGGTGCTAAACCTGATCTAGGGAAGAGGAAAAAAAGGTTTGTTTTTCAGGTATGAATGCACAGGTGGAGAAAGAGGAGAGAGGGGGACAGGCCTAAAAAAATAATACTGTGGATGATGGTCAGTGTTGCGTAGAGTAGAGAGGGTGAGGCTGAGGGGGCAAAAGGTTCAAGGCTGGGTCACTGCACTGGGCTCCTTGTCATAGACGTAGCTGCCCACCCCACCAGTGTTGACGCCTAGAAAAACCACAGGGACAGCAGAGGGTGTCAGGGGTTAACAGCCAGGATAAGACAGGGTGCAAACAGACCTGGAAAGGGGTTGAAAATTATTTCCTGTGTCCTGCTGTAGTGAGGACATGCAAAGTTTTGATGGCATGAGGCTTGAGAAACACTTGGGTGACATTCAACATCTTTCAAGTGTGGCTGATAAATGGTGGGTTGACAGCACCCCCTAGCGGTTACCTTTAGGCCCAAAGAGAACGGCATAACATGGTTTGTGGCAGTAAGGCTGGCCGTCGTGCTGGAAGGACAAAACACAACAACTGAAAAAAATGACTAAAACTGATTTTAGTCAAACAGGGAGAAGAGACTTTTAGTACTGACCAGTCTATACCCAAAATGTTAATTGATGTGTTACAAATTTGTCCAAAATACATGACTCAAATTCAAACTTGACATATCTGCTCTAAGCAAGGCCAGTTCATATTTGAGTGGCTAAAAAAGGTGTTGAGGTTTTAAAGCTTTCAGCATTATAAAGTAAGTTCAAAATTGTGATCAAGGAAGCACAATCTATAATCAGGGTGCACGCATCAACATTGTTCAGATGCCTCTCAACTCATTCTGTCATTTTGGAGTCCATCTCTTTTATCCGGACTGTCTGTGGTCCCAGTGGTCTTCACCAAGCTCTGTGCACTGCAGGGTCCCCACAGCACATCACCTGTCATGCTAAGCTAAATAACGCTAAAGGACATAAAATGGCTTCCAATCAAATCCTAAAATCAAATGGTTCCCCCTTTCCCTGACTGCGTTGCTCATTCCCTCCTGTTGTGTTCATTGATCACCCTGTGTTCAAAAGCAGACTATGTCAATCTGAGTGTGATGTGTTCACACCTCTGCATGGCTGCCAGGGGCCAGCGTCTTGCTGCACCTTTCGCAGCGCAGACAGGGTCGATGCCAGTCTTTGCCCAGTGATGTCACCTTCTCAGCTGTCACAGAAAAAAGGTTAACAAATAGAAAGGAGAAAAAAAACACACACGCACGAATGAAAACCTATTACAGCATGTTCACACATTTCACTCCAACTTTCCTCCTTCTTCTCAGCCCCGTTTCCTGAAGGTGTGGAAGTGCTTACCAAAATAAACCTTCTTGTTGCACCTGGGACACAGGTTGGCTTCTCCGGAGAAAGTGGTGATGCTGCCAGCTGCCGACACATCATACACACGTTAGAAAGTGAAAGGTAATGCAACGGTTTTATGAATGACTATTTAAAAAAGTCGGTCATAAAAATTACGCCTGACAGCAGGAGGAGTAAAACATGAATCTTCAACTTACAAAATTTTTCAGATTCTAGAATCATCTGACAGTGGTATGTAGACTGATAAATGTTATTTATTATAATAAATTTGACAAATTACACTACCATACCAGATGGGTTGATTTGATTCTGATGTTTTAACCTTTGGGCCTACTAATTGAAAATGCATATCCGGAATGGTAACAAAATCCAAGGCTATTGCAGTCTTTAACAAACATGAGCGTGAGAAACAGACACACATTATGAACAAAGGCTTTCTGAAATAAGAGGGGATACACCCTCACTTAAACCTCTGAGAAAAAAAAAAGTGCCTGGAGACTTTGGAAGGTTGGAAAAAAACCCAAACAAACAAAAAAAAACCCACATACGGCTTTTAAAGAGCTTTCACACTAAAGGACAAACTGACAGCATCACTTGTTGTGATGACAGTCCGTCTCTAATTCACCTTTTGATGGAGCCTTTGCAGCGTATGCACGCTTCTCCTCAGCTTTGCTCGCTGAATCCACACTGGTAGGAGGTGTGTTGTTGTTGGCTGGAGTATCATACACATACGAACCCGCTCCTCCAATGTTCACACCTACGAATAAGGAGGAGGAAAATATTTTTCTCATATACAATATTGAAAATGTGTTACAAAAATACTCAAATGACTGCCAAGACTCTTTGAGGATGACTTTAAAAGATGATGCCTGAAGCCAACTATCAGGCATAAAACAAAAATCTAGACTACAATTGATGGAATAAATTACAGAAAATATATATATATATATTAGTGATTGGGATAGTAGAAAACAATCAAGTGGTTTTAATTATCTTTAAAAACCATCCTGTTTCGCAAAGGTGGAAATGAGCGTGGAATTCACCTTTTGGCCCAAAGAGGGCAGCATAGCATGGTTTGTGGCAGTATGGCCTTCCATCGTGCTGAGGGGAAGACAGAAAAACAAAGAAATCATATGAAGCAAGCTGATACAGCAGCCAAACAAGGCCAAAGAACAAAATTGGACATGGATGCAAAAACTGGGAATCAAGTCTATGAGAGGTTATCATTTTTGCAGAATCATACATTGGTATCTTTTTTTCTGGAAAGTAAGACACAGGGTGACTCTCTAGAGAGATATAATCTTTGTTTTCCTGCTATCCGTCTGCTGCTAATGATCATATCATTGCTATAGGTTTATAGTGCCATGCCCCCACTTTGGTTGACAAATTCACACGCTGGTTTTCCATCTGAATAGGGGGGGGAAAAAGTCAGAGACATAGATTTCCTGTGCTTGATGCACACAGGGAGCACGGTGGCAATTGCGGGAGCATGTGATCTGCATTGGGATCAGGGCTGAGAGCCAGGGTGGTCACTGGTCCAGAGACTGATGCCCATAGATGAGAGGAATCAAGCAAAGGAAGAGGGTGAGGTGCCAGGGAAAACTGGCATTAAACCAGGCACACAGTACCCATGATTCAGCCACTTGAGCTCTTTCTTTTCAGGGGATAGTGTGGGAGGAAGAAGAAGAGAAAAAAGAAAAAGGATTGTTCTCACCTTTAATAATTCATCAACAGGGAAAGGATCAGGTGCCTTTAAAGCAGCCGTACACTTTTTTTTCCTTCCTGTTTTTAAATTTTTTAACCCATTTTGTTTGATATCCTGGAGATCTGTGTGGGTTTGGCCATCAGGCGCCAGATTGTGACTCACTGTTGATGACTTTTTCAGGATGGGACACGTGGGGCTTTATTTCCTGTAGTGACTTTGCATGGACGTGAACTATCAAGATGTAAAAGGATCCCAAACATGGATTATCCATTGCAGCAGGGCCCACTCTCTTCCCAGCAGCTAACCTCCCACAGCTCCATCCGTTTGCCTTCATATTCTCTAAAGATTTACCACCTTCTACCCCTTGACCCTACTATGAATAGACGGTTTATGGACAGTGAAAGGGCTCATGGGCTTTATCCCCCGTAATCGAGACAACCTTTTAGCTTACCGCTTGCATTCACAGAGACATCAATCGATAAAGTTATGCATGGTCCAAACGAATATTTAAGTCAGAGCTGCATTAATCTTATATTGATGATTTTAAGTGTTGGTATAGTATCCTCCAGCACATTTAAAAGATTCTGGACTCTGTTGGCCTAATTTATCTTAAACCTCTCTTTTGCAATTTGAGCTGGATAATGTGATCTTGGAACATGCTTGTGCCAACAGGAAAGGAAAAAAAAGAGTTTGGTATTGATGGAAAAACCTGATGAACTCACCATGCCTGATTTTCAAGTGGCTTAATTTTTAGACACATAGTGGTGCTGAATCCAGGCGGGGGTTTGTAAAACGCATCATCCACCACCCGTTTTATAGTGATGCATTAATCAATCAGGACCCAGACGACCACGTGGTCTTTTTCCATTGCTCCAGAGTCCAATCTTTAAGCTCCTTAATGAATGGAAGACTATTTTTTATTACATTAGCCTCACTGATAAGTGCTTTCCTAGAACAACACATCCCTGGACTTTAGGCCTTTCATCTTATGTGGAAAGGCTTTTTCACTACTTGAAAGAGTTTGACTGTCAAATGTTTTCCATTTTTCTTTTTGATCCACTTAAGGAGTTTCAGCATTGTCCAAGATGTCTCATTTGCTTGATGCAGACCCAACAGTTTTCCATTTCTTGCTCTCTATAAGTGCGGTATATTTTACAGGACTACAGGATGTGTGGTGCGATATGGTTGTTTGAGGGATAAGAAGCAAGGCTGTGTACTGTGTTTGTTTTAGCAGAAAGTTCCCACTGACAGGGACACATGGAGTTAGCCGAGGCTTACGTGAGCTCTGAGATAATTGTCACTTGTTTGTCTGGTAGACGTTCATGTGAAAAGCAGCAGGGTTACGTGGAGATTGCAGAAAGACAGACGACAGAAATGATTCAATTTAGCTGTAGAGCTAGATTACTATCTTTAAATTGGGATAAATTCAAAAGAAAAAACTGCAGTCACAGTGGGGCTATTACCATTCCTTTCCTTGAAAGTGTGATATTGGCTGGCTTAATTCTGGGTTAGAATATAAAAGTTCAAATAAACAGAGAAAACTTAAAAGGGTACAATTAGCAGTAAAAACTACCCCACCACCCACTAACAAAATTACATTCCCCTCATCGCTTTTGGCCATTATGCTAGGTGCATCTTTAAACTAATACTCAAGATACACAATAACCTTCCAGTGACACAAAAAAGGCTCAGTGGTGGAAAAGACTCTGCTGGGCACTTTAAGTATAAAATGGCCTACTGTCTGGACAGGAGGAACCAGTTTCCACAAGAAAAACGGAACTGAAGATGTGCCACTTCCTATTTTACACAGCATTTCACTTTCCTAGGATAAGAAGTCCTTAAAGTTTAAACAAAGCATTTAAATTGACACCAGCTCCAGACCTTAAGGGTTTATGGATTTTAACAGAGTTTTACTAGTGTAAATGAAACACGATGATTCAGAGCTGTGAGGAAAACTGTGATAAAAAAAGGAACAATCCTTTAAAGACGTATCGCCCTGTCTCCTCAAGTCTGCCTCTCTCTGCCACCAGCCTCAGGGACTTGTTGCTCTGTTACTTGTTTTAATTTAAAGGAGCATCAAGTGCTGACCTGAAATTCCTCACCCTCTGCACACCATGCACACTATGAAAACAAACAACCTCCAGACCTAGACAATCCGGCAACAAGAACCCTGTTGAATGCTTCATGTAAATGCCCCTCGGCTTTATTCAATTTGCACAATGTCGATTTTTAAAATTTTCTACTACTTGCGGTTTCACAATGAAGCCTGGTGTCCATAGAGAGAAGATGGGGAGCCAAGTGGCCTCAAGAGATGGTATGACTAGATTACTGGAATCATGCAGAGATTAAACAGCAGACCCGCATCTCTGTGGAATGCGGGGAAATTGCTTTTTGGTACAAAGGGACTGAGATCACATCCTCTCTGGCCAAAGAAAAGAGCGGGATACTCAGAAGTTGGTGTATGTTTGTGTGTTCGTGTGTGTGTACGCGTGAGTGTTATTCACAATGGTACAAAAAGAGGGTGAAATGCAATAGTTGACCGGGTCACGAAAGAGAAAACTAAAAAAGACAAGGATCCCCAGGGTGTGCCAGATAGTGAGCAGTGCACAGTCAGGGGAATCTGTGCTGAGACGTGATACTGCAGGCCGCTTATGTAATACGGAGAGGAAGGATCTGAGAGTAGCTCATCCTGAGGGGCTAAGGGGGTGAAAACTCCCAGGAGGCCACAGCATATTGACAGCTGCGACCACATAAAAAACAGAACTGTCAGTATTTTCTTTTTTCTCTTTTTGAAAAAATATACTTATTTTCTAAAAGGATACACGATTTATTCAAATTCTAAAGGTTTAAAAAGGTCAAAGGATCCTTTAACTGAAAAGTAAAAGGTCGCAAACAAATCAAATGACCCAAGCAGCACTGGCTTCCTGTGGTTGGTGTTCATGATATCAGTCAGTGAACAGCACACATTACCCAGTTTTGGAGGTTATAGACCTCTGACCCAGTGCAAGCAACATCGGTGAAAATCTGTTTTTGGTGTAAAAAAAAAAAAAAAAAAAAGCCAGCAAAAAAAGGTAGAAATAATGGAAAGAAAGATAAGAAGAAAGAAAAACAGTCTGAAAAATAAACAGATTTTTGCGCCGTGGGAATGATTTCTTTCCAAGTTCGGGTCACCGTAACCTCAGATTTGTAACAACGAATGACGTGAGGAACCACATTTGTTGTGTCACACTGACCTCAGCGTGGCCTCCAGCATTCAGAAGCTTGTTGCAGCGGTCACATTTGAGACACAGTTTGTGCCAGTCCTTCCCCAGCGATGCCACCTTTTCAGCTGCGCATGAAAGACAAAAGACAGAGAAAAGAGCGGGGAATGAATGCAAACATTCACATAAAGCATCATTTATACAGATTACGGTGAACAGTTGCCTTTTTTGTCTCAGTACGTTGCATATACGTGTGACATAATGCGCCGTTCAATCGGTCATCTCGGAGAGGAATGACGCTTCTCATTGCTTCAGTCTACACAATAATGATGAGCTTGTGTTGCATTGTCTGTGGCCTCGATGGAAACCTCGTCATCGTGCCAACCGAGTGATTGTGTTCTGGGGGCGGGGACTTTAGGTATGCCTGTGTACCAAGCAGGATGCTGCGATGATGTCACAGTGGGGTAGATGGGCAGTGGCGTTTGTCCCAGTCCAGCTGGAACGGTGGGGGATGCCAACATCTGACCCAGTTCCTTTGTGTTACCCCCTCCCCAACAAACACACATACACCCATCCCCCAGTTTACAGTATACCCATCCTGCTGCAGACAGCCCCTCAACCCCATTTCCGCTTCCCTTTTCTCCCGTCGCACAAACCGACCGCCCCTCCAAACAGCCCAGGGACCCTAATTGTGCACTCGCCAATAATAAATCACCACTGCTTCCACACAATGGGCTCGAAGGAGTCCTGCTGGCAACAGAGGAAACACCTTCTCTTATCAAGGCAGGGCGAAAATAGCCGGATAAGGAATCGGTTTCCTAAACACCCTCACTCACAAAAAAACAAAAACAACTAAAAAAACAACACACATAAGCATGTGCGCACACACGCAGAATGTGTGTGGACATAGAGATGATTGCATCCTCCTTGAGTTCCTCCCTATAATGGTGTTCCCACATGCACAACAACGTATACAAATATGGTTGAACGACAGATTTGAATGACAAAAGAAAATCCTTCATGAGGGGCTTCAAATAATGGCTTGAATCTAAAAAAATATTTCCCGTCTGTGGGACAATGTCCTTGGTAAAACAATGTAGGAGACTTAAAAAATGAATGCACAAATCACAAGTGTCACCATAAACATGCGTTATGACTGGCCCGTTTTGTCTCATAAATGCTTCATAAACCTAAAAGGGATCATATCACACATCCCTATTTAACAAAAATTGGTAACTTGAAGACGTTAGCGGTTAAGAGACTGAAAGCACGCATCACTCACAAACAACAAAGTACTGCCTTGTATGGACTGCGTCTCTCGGGACTTTTTCTTCAGTTCCATCAAATCTTTTGCACATCTGATTCAATCATCTTTCCTCTTTGGGTAATCATGTTAAATTTTATTTGATTCAATGTGAATGACAGAAATTGTGTTAGGGGTATGAAGTGGAAATTCCTCTCGGGGTTGTGTTAGGAGCCGTGACTACTCCCTGCTGAGATCTGCAGCTTGCTCTCTGGTTTCGCCGTCAGCTCTCCTTGTCCATTACAACACTGAGACAAATGGACAACAACAAGGCCCCTCCGAGACCAGCCTAGGATGGGGGAGCCTCCTATCAACTCCTTAGTAAAAGGAATGCTGATTTAGACAAAGTAGACTGCTGGTTTAATCAGTCTTAAAGCGTACCACACTAAATCTCAAGGTTGCCTTTACATTGGATAATGGCTGTCGACCCAAAAGACATCCACAGTTGAATGGAAATGTTTTACATGTGTACAAATAGCTATTTTACGTTGCTACTGTAGCTACACTATCGGCAAACCACATATAAACTGTCTGTCACTTAACTTAATCTCCCTCCACTTCTACAAATATCATACAGCTTAAACTCATAAGGCTGACTATTTGTCTACTTTAATCTGTTACGCTTAAGCCAACAGATCATATGCCTTCATTGGTAAAACCTTCTTTTTTTTTTTAAACTCGTCTTTTACTACGGCAATGCCCTGGCGAGTAATACAGATTTGCAGTGTACCAAAAATACTGCACAAACTGAGTAGAGGACCACCACCAGTGTGTTTTCATAGCCTTGATGTAGTGTGTGTACCACTGACTGATTCATGGATACACACACACCTCCGTCCAGATTCATAAAGTCAGGGTATGAATGGAAACAGACGTCAGAGGGACGGCCGTTTGTCCTCCCTCCTCCGTAATTGACTGCCCATTGCAAAACAGCCATTGTGAGAAAAGGCCTCTGTTTGCGTTATTTGTAAGGGGGAGTTGCAGAGTGGGGGAGGTAGAGGGGGTCTGCATCTGGACCAGCTGTTTACAGCCCCGGCTGAGCTTAGCTCTAACCTTCTTGTCTTTCACATGGCCCTGGCAGCTGAAATAAAGACGGGGCACTGTACATTTTTACTTGCCTTTCAAGGTGATGCCAGAAAGTGAAAGAAAACAATCTAAAAATGAGGACAACAATGATGTAATGACTGCATTAAGGGGCCTACAGACAAGAGTCTGGATCCCAAAATAGCAAACATGTGGGCACAAATGATGCAAATGAAATGCCACCACATCCCCCTCTACCTCGTTACGGCAACTATGTGAGGGTAAACGCATCCACTTGTGGAAACAAACAAGCTCCTGTTCGCATGGAGGTCTCGGTGGGAACTCACATTTGTACCGTCAACGTTGATGAGGATGTACCAAATCCTGTTAATGTCTGTCTTAAAAACAGGGGCTCGCCCCGTCGTTTGATGCAATCAGTGAAGCTCTTAAAAACAGAGGGAAAAAAAGGTTCTCATTGAGTTCTCTCCTACTGTGTACATAATGTCAGAATAACTGAAGGTTACATATATATCTGGATACATTATCTGCATTCTGACATGTGATCTGAGTTCCATTGAATTTACATTTGGTGTTTTCAGAAGCTGTTCTTCTTTCGATTGTTTCAATATCAGTAAGCAGACTTCTGGTCCACATGGCGAGCCCACTATGCTCCCTTTTCTTTTTCCAAACACCAGGCTAACTATAGTGCTCTTTCCTGTAAATCTTGACAAGACTGCCTTTCTTAGCTGGATGAAGTGGACTTTTCAGTTTATCAGGCTCCATAGGCTGATTTTATAAAAGATGGATTTAGCCTTTGGGGCTAAAAAAAAAGAAAAAAAAAGTAAGTCAGTGTGTAAATGCCTAAAAATCTGCATTAGCTGGCCAGCTGGAGTCCAATCCTGTAGCTGTGAAAGGAACATTTGTTTAGAAGTCCATTGAGGGGGGAAAAAAAGAACATTGTAACGTTTAATTTGAGTTCTGGAGTATGACTAACCAATAATTAATGTACGTAGACTGATCACGTGTTCATGTCAGAATGCCAGCTGTACATCCTTCATAGCTAGACAGTTTTCATAGAGATCATCAGCCTTTTGGAAAAGACAGAAGTAGTCCCTAATTTTGGGCTTAAGTATATACTGGCTTTAATTTGTACTTGCAGTGTGGGAAAGTGTTTGATGTGGGCCTGTGTTAGGCGATTTAGATCTGCTGGCTGCAGAGGCGTTTACAAAATCTCTGGATTTGAGGGACTTTTCACATTTATATAATTATGGTCACTCCGTCTTCAAAGAAGAGAAATAAATAGCAAAACAAATTAAAAACAGTAAGCACAGGTTTGAAATCCTGACTGGCGGGCAGAGGACAGATTCCCTTGGCAGGGTCATCGAGTCCCCTGCAAGAAAAAAAAATATAAACAAACAAAAAAACTACTGGACAGAGGTCATCACCATAACCATATGATACCTGCACCACTTTAAGCAGCTTAACCTCATTTATAAATTCCTGATCCAAGCGTGGGGTCAGTCTCTCTGACTGCACGGTCAATATGGCTTAAATCAGCGAGACAAGCTGCTGCTGATTCGTCCTTTCATACCGATTTAGCCATTAATTACGTTAAGGAGATGGACTTCTGACAAAAGTACTTCAATTAACCATTAAAAGAAAGAAAAAACAGGCCTTTAAGTGCAGTTGTTAAGTAAAACTGCTGAGTACGAACAATGAAAGTGCTTCTCTTTTTTTTTTTTTTTAAATACCGTCTCAAGATATCACTAGATGAGATTTACTAGGGCTTGTTAGGGGTGCCTTTTTCCTGGGTAATTGCAAGCATAAGATGACAAGATAAAAGTGAAAGGAGAAATTCAACATCAAACAGACTGAGCATCTTTGAACCTAAATGACTGAATTTCATTTGGTAAGTATATCCATTCTGCTTGCACAGGCGTACTTCATGCCGGTTTTAATTCGATTAATCTTGTTTGTCCAGCCACAAGATGCACGTAGACTAAATCAAGGCTGAATGTTCAGACGGAGCGGCTGAACCTGAAGTGGCGCAGCATGGGAGCAGGCCTGGAGAGAACAGTCTACAAACACGGAGTAATTGGACGGACCACTCGCCAACATAGCGTTAACAAGGGGCCCTCGGTGGGAAAATATTAAGGCTCCCAAACGACTTAATTGCCTTTGCTAATTGTTGGCAGTGACAGAGCGGCTGCCGGAGCAGAAGATGCACGGAGAGTCACCCTGAGTCAGCAGGAAATGTCTTCTCAGCCTTGACCATGGCAGACAAACAAGCACAGGAAATTGTCCATTCGTACAGATGAATCTACATGTAAGATGATAGGAAAGTCCATCGGTGGAGCTGGCTGTTACTATGGGTTTTTCTCTTATCGCTCAATAACTCGATCGGGGTGTACAGGGCAGAAGGACAAAAGGGGAGGAGAGCGGCAGGCCTCAGTGGCTCATCTCTACACTGCAAGTTCACCAACGAGTGAAAACGCCGCCAGTGCTTCTGCTTATCATCTCTGTGGGCTTGTCCATCTCAGTTACAGCAAACTTTCTCAAACAGACATCAAATTGCCAGCTTAAGTCTGCCGTAATGCCCGTGATGTAACCAATGTTATTGGAAATATCCCTTAATCACGGCTGGCTGGCTGGCTTCTGCTCCGTTTGCACCCTCTGGTAATGTGGACCCATCTGTTCTGCTTTTTCCCGTGTTAAAGCCATCAAAATGCAGTCGACAGCGACACGCGGGCACACACGTATTCACAACTCTCTTCATCCTCTTTTTCGCCTCCCTCCGATTCT